AGCTTTTTTAACTTTATTGGAACGAAAAATTTAAGATATGTACAAATTCGTAAAGAACCTAATAAGGTGGGATTTATAGGATTATTTCAACCTTTTAGTGATGCTATTAAATTACTTAATAAAGAATTATTTTATGTATATAAATCTAATTATAATTTTTTTATTTATGTCCTATAATTAGATTTGTTTTAATAATAATATGATTAGTATTTCCTTACATTACTAATATTTATTTTTTAAATTATTCTATTTTATTAATAATTGTTTTTATAACTATTAGAGGGTATGTTATAATTTTTATGGGATGATCAGCTAATTCGATTTATTCAATAATAGGGGCAATACGATCAGTTTCACAAATATTATCATATGAAGTAAGATTTATTTTAATTATTTTAGTTATTATATTAATAAGAGAGAGATATTCTTTTTTTGATTTTATTAATTATCAATTTTATTTATGATATATAGTAGTTTTATATCCTTTGTTTATTATAGTTTTATTAGGATTTTAGCTGAATTAAATCAAAGTCCTATAGATTTTATCGAAGGTGGGTCAGAATAGTTTCAGGGTTTAATATTGAAATATTAGGGGTGGGTTTACATTAATTTTTTATCTGAATATCGAATAATTATTTTTTTTTAGATTAATTAGAATTTATATATTTAGGAATTTATTAAAATATTCAATAATTTTAACTTTTATTTTAATTAATATTTTATGTAGAATAGTAATTTTTATACATGGAATACTTCCTCGAATACGATATGATGAATTAATATATTTATGTTGGAAAATTATTTTACCAATAATTTTAGTTTATATTTTATTAATTTTTGGATTTAAATTTATATTATTAATAATAATTTAGTAAAAAAAATAAATGTTTAAAAGTTAATAGAAAATTAAAATTTCTTTAATATGTTTTCAAAACATAAACTTAAATTCAAGATCATTAACTTAATTTAATAGTAATTTATAAAAATTTAAGTATTAAATATAATTATTTTTAATATTTTAAATTTATTTATAATAATAAATTTTAAAATATTTATTTAAAAATAATTAAATCTCAAATTTTTATTAGGAAAGTAATAAGATAAAATAAAGAAAGTAACATAATGATAAAATTTGTCTAATAATGATAAAAGGTATTTCAATAGATTGAGCTCCTGCTCATGTTAATAGAATAAAAATATTAATGAAAATTCAAAATAAATATTGATTTAAAGGATAAAATGATAATGAATTAAATTTTATAGAAATTAGAGGTAAAAAGTATAAGATAATAATTGATGATAATAATGCAATTACACCTCTTAATTTGTTAGGGATAGATCGGAGGATAGCATAAGCATATAGAAAATATCATTCAGGTTTAATATGAATTGAAAATGTATTTTATAAATAAATGAAATATTATATATATATATATATATATATATATATATATAATATATAAGTTTATATATATATATACAGATATGACAACCGTTATCTTGATTTTTTCCGATTATTGATGTTACATTGCGTATAACTCTCATTTCTTTCTCTCTGCTACATAAGTACTTATGACGTGAAAGAACTTACGAGTAACGTATGATGGCTCAATGCAAGAATATTTAATCACGTAAAAAACTTGAGTTCAAATATATCAATATCAATTTTTTTAAATATATTGGAATATAGAAAATCATAGAAATATATTTTTTATATAGGCGATAAACTTAAAAATTTGATATTGAAAATATTTTAATCATTTTACAACTACACACACTATAAATATATAAATGCAAAATAATTCCGTAAATAAATTTCAAGTAATAAATCAATTGCACACATGCACACAGCTGGTATGTAGATTTTTATTAAATTTATTTTCTGAATTATTTTACACTTATATATAGTGTATGTAGTAAAAATATTTTCAAATATTAAAAATTTTTAAATCGCCGAAATATATTTTTTTATCATTTTTCTATATTCTAATATATATATATATATATATAAAAAAATTGATATTGATATATTTGAACTCTAATTTATATACTGGATGATATACTGAACATCCTTGCATTGATTATACATTACTCAACGTTCTTTCACGTTATAAGTATTTGGAGCAAATTATACAATAGCATCAATAATCAAAAAGAAATCAAGAAATAATCAACATATCCTTATATAATATATATATATATATATATATATATATATGTTATATATATACGTTATGCACATATGTGCATAACCATATATACAATTTCCAAAAAGTGGGTACTTATTAGCCTTGCTACGCTACTGCCTTCTGCTACGGAAGGCCAGAAAGCATTTTCAGGCGGCATCTCGCGTATACCGGCACGGTAGAGGAACAAGGAGAACACGTGATTATCGGTCCTTGTCTCTCTACGGTGCGTCCGCGTGAGCAATGCAATGGTGTATGTACGTGTACAGACATGCACCACTACATAAAACCCGAGAATTGGTTTCTCGGCGTTGGCAACACTGAAATCGGAGTTTCGCGTTGTCACCGCGCGAGGTCTCCAACATCAATTTAGGTTGGCCGACCGACCTGTCGACCCTTAAGTGCTTCTTCTATTAAAGAATCAATCCCATACAGCACAGATTATTGCAATTATATTGCAGCAACGTTGCAATGTTGCAAGTTGCAATGCAACATTATAAAGACATTGCAGAGATATAAGTGCACAAAATTCCAGCACACTTGTAGCAACATGACATTAATATTTCGGAAATATTGCATGTAATCCAAATTCTATAATTTATACATTGTAATATATATAAATAAACTACAACGTATTTTCATTAATGATTTATTTACATTTATATACCTGTATATGCAACATTAGTTTATGGTTGCAATAACAAGCATTATTGCAAACTCATAACATATTGCAATATTGTTGTAATATTTTGTTGCAATCTTCCAAAAAGCGGACATTTTAACATTGCTGCAATTCAACAGCAATGATGTAGCAACATTTTGCAGTGAATTTGCAATATTGCAATATTGCGGTGAAAGATTGTTGTAATGTCTTTGCAATCTATCGGTGCTGTATGGGTTCTAATATATTGTAAAAAAATTGATATTGATATATTTGAACAAGTTTTTTACGTGATTGAATATTATTGCATTGAGCCATCATACGTTACTCGTAAGTTCTTTTACGTTATAATAGTATTTATGTAGCAGAGAGAAAGAGATAAGAGAGAGATTATACAATATAACTTTAATAATCAAAAAAAATCACGATAACGCTATTGTCATATCTATGTGTGTGCATATATATAAACATATTAATTTGCATATTATCTACCCAGACAGCACCAAGTCTAAAATTGACGCATAAGATAGCATTAAGAAATCTTTAAGACAGCTATCTTATGATATGATATCAAAAAGACATCTTATAAAGATATCTTACGCGCCAATTTTGGACTTGGTGTTGTTTGGGTATATAAATAAAATATGTACACAAATAAAATAATATTTGCATAAATATTATTTTATTTGTACATATTTTATTTACATAGATTATATGCAAATATTTAAATAAATCATTCGATAATTTATTACACATTTTATTTATTATATAGATTTATATAGATTATATGCAAATATTTAAATAAATCATTCGATTATTTGTTACAGATGCATAATGTGAAATATATATTGCGTACACGAAACGATAATTGGAAGATAATGTTAGGCAAGAATTATTGCTATTCTTATTGTTCTTTTACATATAATATACATATACAGAGAAACAATGATAATACGAAAACCGGTTCTTGCTGATATCTCCCAATAATCGCATTCGTTCAACGCATTAGTGTTTGTGTCTACATGGATGTTACTACATATGCGATGTAAGAGAGACAAGGACTGAATGATAGTCTCTCCTTGTCAAGCTGTTAGCTGTCAGTATGTTACCACGGAAATTTCCCCTGCTCCTTATGAATCTAGTGAGAATCTTATCGTCCAGATATTTCATAAAATAAGTGACATAACTTTGGTTTTTTTTTTTTTAATATATTCTTGATATAATAAAGTAGTCCGCCAAAGAGTCGGATTTTGCATTTTTGCTCTGAAAAATTTATAATAAATAAAATACGGACTCCTGGCTAACCCAACCTTACCCGTTACTAGCTGCGCATTCCCCCAAGTTATATTATAAATTTTATTTTAATCTTTTTTTCAATAAATAACTCTTTGGCGGACTGCATTTGAGCTTACTGATTAAGAATATCATAAATTTAATAAGATTCATTCAGTAGTTTCGCTAATATCTGGAATATAAGAATCTCTAATTCCCGGCCGGCCGATAGGCGTCTCCACCATGTCGCCTGCCGACCCTTAACACAACAACCTGGCATCTTGATACCTCTTATTTCTCTTCATGTGCGAAAAAGGTTATAACAGATTATAAAGACTGCACTTAAAGTAGAGATGATTTACACAATGTATACACTATCTACACTTTTCGACACCATCTTGACTCCCATGTATCTTATGAATTGCGTTACTTTGTAATCTAGTGACTTTAGTTCATACCGTTAGGGTTGTAAGAGATGGCGACGACTAGTAACTTATAGGTTTGCGCTTGTTGTGTTGGATTGGTCGCGTTACTAGTCCCTAGGCTAATTACAACTAGAAGATTCCCTATGCCGGTATTACTAACGATAAATGATAAAAACGTCTAATTCTAAGTTAGATCATTCTTAAAATAGTTAATTATGTAGATTCTCGCAAGAAATGTTAGCGCGAAAAAATTTGGGTTTCGACCAATGGCAGGACGTCAGAACACTCTTGCATAAGCGCATAAGTGTAAATATGAGAATCTTGATTGGTCTATAAACGTATGCATAAGAAATTCAACCAATCGAATTTCTTATGCATATGCTTATGCGCTTATGCAAGAGTGTGTGCTCCCCGCTTTATGTTTATGCTTATGCGCATATGCAAAAGTGTGTGCTCTCTGCTTTAATGTTAAAAACCACGTGACCTTGCTGACGACCTCTGGTTTGGTATTTAATATCGTCCGTCATTTGGTCATTTGCTCTTGTGATTTCATGATAAACATAGATTCGTGTTAACGATTAGATTATCGTCATCTTTAAAATAGTTCAAAATTATTGGACTCTTCAAGAGTTTTAGATCGATTCATAACATCGTTAAAAATTTTGATACAAATATGATACGAACCATATCGAGCATACGGATGGCCCGCGCTATCGTTCGTGGTTCTGTACGAACCAACACCGTGAGATCTATAGTTATTCGCTATCTTCACAGAAAACATCAACAAAGGTATTTAATTTGTGATCCTGAATCATCTTCGCTTTAAAATTTTTTATTGTAGGTTATTCACATTTTGGAAACTGTCCTTAAAGTTTCACATTAACTCTAATGTAATGTAGCACAGGGAATGCAAACCCTTTTACTATGTAATTATTTGTATTTTAATCATGTCAAGGTAGCAATGTCAAAGTTATAAATATTTCTTATAACTATCATTCATTATATGTAAAAGAATGTATGCAAAAAATAATGTTTTGCATTATTTAGAGTTCTTATTCAGCATCACAGTGTTTTATATGATACATCAACACCATGGCAACAACAATTAAGGTTTTATGTGGATTATCCCAGTCACATCAAAGTCCCTCTTCCAGCATTGTCTCCTACCATGGAGACAGGAACAATAATTAGTTGGCAGAAAAAAGAAGGTAAACGGAACTGTTTATTGATATAAAAATGTAACAAGTATAGAATCATGATAAAATTTTGATAAAAGAATAGAATTATTTTTTACAGTTTTTAAACTTTCTATATTTAATCTTTTTTTTATCTTAGGTGATAAGTTGAATGAAGGTGATTTACTAGCAGAGATCGAAACAGATAAAGCCACAATGGGATTTGAAACCCCTGAAGAAGGTTATCTGGCCAAAATTCTGGTACCTGCTGGAACAAAAAATGTGCCCATAGGCAAATTGGTTTGCATTATTGTATCGGATGAATCTAGCATAGCTGCATTTAAAGACTTTAAAGATGATACAGTGGCTGCTCCTCCTGTACTGCCTTCACCAGCAGTTCCAACACCATCTGCACCACCACTGACACCTACAATATCACCAGCACCAGCTGTGGCAAAAGCTCCTGTTAGTCCACCCCCTTCTGGGGATAGAATATATGCTAGTCCATTAGCGAGAAGATTAGCAGTGGAAAAAGGACTTAGTTTACAGGTGCCACAAAATTGTTAATTTATAAATGAAACTGAAAAGAATGAAGACAAAAATATAAACTTGTCTTTATTTTTCAATTTGTTTTATGTTATAATATTTTTAATTATAAATTTAAAAATTATGTGTGTGTGTTGTACCTAAATTAATATATTATTTAATTTAATTATTTAAAATTTATGAATAATTTATTAATTTATATATTATATTTATATATAAATAAAAATCATACATTCTATTTTTTATAGGGTCTAAAAGGAACAGGCTTATATGGTTCTGTAACGTCCAAAGATTTGGAAGGTGCTGTTACAGTACAACCAGGAATATCAGCAACTGGGGCACCTGGTGGACTAGATATTTCTATATCAAACATACGTGCTGTTATTGCTAAACGTTTGTTAGAAAGCAAGCAAACAATTCCACATTATTATCTTTCGATAGATGTGAAAATGGATGCTGCATTAGTAATGCGAGAACAATTTAATAAATTATTAGAAAAAGATAAGGTAAAATTGAGTGTCAATGACATTATCATTAAAGGAATGGCTATGGCTTGTAAAAAAGTTCCAGAAGGCAACAGTGCGTGGCTAGGAAATATAATTAGACAGTAAGTATATTATAACATTTGTTATTACAAATGTAATAATATATATATTTGAATATATGTTGTATTGAACAAATTACTTTTTTTTTTAGATACAATAATGTAGATGTTAGTGTAGCAGTAAGCACAGACAGTGGTCTAATTACTCCGATAGTGTTTGGTGCTGATACAAAAGGTATAGCACAAATTAGTAAAGAAGTAAAGGCATTAGCTGCGAAGGCAAGAGAAGGAAAATTACAACCGCAAGAATTTCAAGGAGGAACAATTACTGTGTCTAATTTAGGCATGTTTGGAATTAAAAATTTTGCTGCTATAATAAATCCTCCGCAATCTATTATTCTTGCTGTAGGAACCACAGAGACTAGACTGATACCTGCCAAAAATGAGAAAGGGTAAATATTTCTGCATAAATTTTATATGACATATGTGATTTATATATGACTTATGTGTTATTAATATGTAATTATTTCTACAGATTCATAACTGCCCAATATATGTCTGTAACTGCTAGCTGCGATCACCGTACTATTGATGGTGCGGTAGGTGCACAATGGTTAGTTGCTTTTAAGGATTTTATAGAGAATCCGACAACGATGCTTCTGTAATTATTAAATCGCTATTGATTTATCAATTGAGTAATTCGAACGGCACAAGTAACAGGTAAATAAAATTTCTCAAATATTTAATATTATTAATCTATATTTAAAGAATGATACTTAATTGCCCACTGAACCTTTTGATTAAGTTTCATTATAAATCTAGTAAAAATCTAAACAATTTAGTCGTTATGTAATTGTGCACAATTATTATATTAATAATTATATGGGCAAACAGAGGCTGCTCCTTATTTAATAGAAATGTAAATGTTATATCATAATTTTATATCTCTCAAAGTACATTTTTATATAGTTTAAAAATAACTTTATGATTTATAGACTCAAATTCAGTTTTTGAGATATATTTTCTTTCTTTTTGTTTCAGAAATGTTACTTCAAATAGAATAACAACATACAAAGGATTATTTATGTATTATTGTTATCAAGATTGTTGTAAAATTGATTTAATTTAAAATGTTATACCAACATTATTCAAAACTTTTAAAAAGTAGTATAAAATATTTATGTTGTTTACAGATGAGAAGACTAATCTATCAATTTAGTAATTTCAATTAATTATAATAATTTGCGTTTTTTATACCGCATTATTAAATAAGATTGAAAATTTTTTTCAAACCGATACTAACCTAAATTTTTAACACCTTTTGGTGACCATGTGTACATACATATTTATAATAAATAATACAACTGCACTATGTTGCAGAAAATATGATGACCACATTTAGAAATTATTAACTTTTATGAAAGTTGTTAAAAATATATATAGTAAATATGTATACAGAGATGTATATCATATTTAATAAATTATCTTATGTTATTCTGCACATATTTTAATTTTATTTATTTCAAACAAAGTTTAGTGGAAATGTATCTGTTGAATATATAAAACTTATTTTTATCAAGGTGATATTAATTAACAGCGAACTGGCCAGTGATGACAAACTTTATTCCGTTACGTTTCGACTATCTATTTGGCCCCCCCTCTCTCTCTCTCCCCTTTCTCCCCCCTCTCGCCCCTCTCTCTTCCCCCCCCTCTCTTTCTTTCTCTCTCCCTCTCTCCCTCCCTCTCCCTCTCTTCCCTTCTCTTCCCCTCTCCCTCCCCCTCCCCTCTCCCTCTCTTCCCCCCCTCCCCCTCTCCCCCCTCCTCTGTCCCCCTCTCTCCCTCCCTCTCTCTGTCCCCCTCTCCTCCCTCTCTCTCTCTCCTCCCTCCCTCTCTCCCCCCTCTCTCTCTCCCCCCCCCTCTCTCTCTTCAGACTATAATACATTAATAATTGATAATCTTAATATTAGATATGTATGACAGCATTCTCAACAGTTTTTTACCCTTCCCCATGTAGCGAGTTGACGTCATATTAAACGTCAAAATGACAGTATATATTATACATATTTTCTAAAATTCGACCCAAGATCTTTATTTTGAAAGCGGTTTTGGATACAAAAAAATGTTTCAAACAAAAATTGTAGGGTATCGAGGAGGACATAAGATCGTGCCATTAATTAGACATTATATAGTCATTTGAAGGTCCCGTGAAGGTCTTGCATTTCTTAAATAGAACTACCTATTTGTTATTGTATACTAGCAGCACAAGCGCGCGCGAAGCGATTTTCTTGCTTTCTCCTCATACTTGATCTCCATTTTCAATGCTCTCATTTTTATTTCTTTCATTTTCGTCTCTTCCATTATTATGTAATTTGGCGTTCTTCTGTCCAATCTTCTGTCTAATCTCCATTTTACATATTTCCTCTTTATTTTGTCTAGTTTTTCTTCCATCTTCCATATCCAGATCTCTGCTCCACATAATATGCTATGCTTGCTATTAAGGTTTCAAACATTTTCATTTATCTTCTCCTGTTTAAAATCCTGTTTTAACCTTTCTCCTACGCTCTATGTCATCTTTATTGCTATCGTTGCCTTTCTCATCTTCTCTATTATGTGTTTCTATGATCTTCCATTTTTTTACATTATATTTTATTATTTTTTTTACAGCATATAATTTGTAATATTATTGCAAAACTGAAATTTTATATTTTGATCTATGTATTATTATATATATACATGAGCAAATAAATATTTTATTAATATTATGTTTTACATCTGTTGATACTCACTGTATCTGCTTTACTTTAAAACGTTAATTAAATTTTATTCCTCTATTTGTTATAATCTTAAATATAATTTTTATATATTACAATTGTAAATCTAAAAACTTATATATATTTTAATGTATATTATTTATATCATGAATATAAACAAATATTCTTATCAATATTATAATTTATACCTTACTATTATATATATGTTAAATTCTTTATTTAAAATTTAATATTTTTATAAAAAATTAATTTTTTTAACATTTGATTTTAATTGTATATAACATGGACATATAAAGTTTGTATCATTATATCTTTTTTTTCTATTAATTTTACAAATACTACAATATCATGTGTTATAAATAATTAATTAAATAATTTTAATATAATTTTAAATTAATTTATGTTTATATAATTTTAAAATACTTTGTTATTTTCTTTTAGATATTTTTATATAATATTGAATTCTAACTTATTGTTTCAATATTTTTCTTGTCATATATGTACAAAATAAATTATTTTTTATTATTTATTTTTACAATTACTTTTGTAAAAGTAATTCGACAATTACTATTGTAAAAATGCATCCTCAGAGTTATGCTTGAAGAAATATGGAATAATTCATTTTCAAAAAGCATTTTTCATCACAGGATGCACTTTCGAAGATAAAAAATATATAAAACATATTATATTATAATATATTGAAATTTATATCTGTTGTAATGATAAATATATCATTACAATGTTTGTAATTGTAAATATATATATATAATAATATAAAATTAAAAGATTGTAAATATTATAATAAATAAATTTACTATTATAATTTATTTAAAGTAATTATAATTTACACTGTAAAATACTAGCATTCTTATTGAAATATTTCTGTATATACATAATTTTTTACCAATCTACTTTGTTTTTCTTGTCCTAAATAAATTTTTAATGATTCCCAGATCTAACTCGTGAAAATGCAACATAAAGTTGTCCGTGACTAAAACATCTTTTCTTAAATTGATTGCAATTTTATCAAATGTTTGTCTTGTGATTTATTTATGGTCATAGCAAAAGCTAATTTATTGGAAATTTTCTTCTTTTAATACAAATAGGTAACATTTTCACAGTATAAGTTTATACGATTAAAAAGAGATAATTTCTCCTCTTTTATCACCAGTATCCCCCCTTTATCACCATCAGAATTTCATTTTAACAAATTATTTCCTAATTCTAAAATTAATAATCTTGTTCCAGTACACAAACCTTCGCTGATATTCAGATTTGTTTGAGATGCAAAGTAAATTTTTAGTAAATTCTAGAATCATCGATCAGCGTCAATAATAAAAGTCACGTTCTTTTTTGTATGTTTGTCAAGGTAAAAAGATGTCGTAAATTAAAACCTGTCATCACAAAACATTCTTTGCATATATACATTTAGCGGTATCGCAACCGTTTTCGCCGCATACTTATCGCGCTAAAAGCATGCGCAAAATTGCCACGCGGCCCAATCACACCAATTAGAAATAGCGAGCGGCTGCTGCGCGTATGGCAAAACGCGAGTCCTTTGCGCACCTTAGCGAAGCGGCCAATTATGAGCTGTGTCCTCGAGTCACCTCGAGCACAATTTAAATTGCTCACAATAATTGGCGCTTCCCGAGGGGTGGTTTTCTTCGGGAAACCATAAAGAGAGCTCGCACCCGAAATTCGCGCCTTATCGCCTTTCGCAGTGACCGCATAACGCAACCGCATATTAGCTAATCCGCAAAAATTCTCGTTGACGACCGCCGCTTATTCCGCACTTTGTTTTCGATTACGTTTTCTCTGAAATAATTAACTGTTATAATAAGTCTTGTTCAAGTGTATTGTAATTAAGGGTGTGTTGAAATTTAAACCTTTTGATACAAAAAAAGTGACTTATCCTGTTGTGTCGCGATTTTCAAGATTTCTAATCAACATGATAATTGTATATTTTCTTAATCGGAGTTCATAAATTGGAAGATTTGTTGGATTTAAAGTATAATATTTAAATATTCTGTTAAAATAGCTTCATTAATATCATTATTATCATCAGTAGTTTCAGTAGTATCTATACTTGTGTATACTCTTTCTGTTGATTCATCAAGTAAATTTACAACTTGTTTGTTTAATTCATCCACATCAACATTTCTTACAGAAAGTATAACACGTTTTGCTGCAAGTCTATACTGATTGTGTTTGATTATTTCTTCGTATGTATCTTTCGTTATATTTGCATTTAAATTTGCTACACATCTTAATGGAATTTCAATATTATTAGACTGATCATTTAGAGAACCATTACCCAAATCTAATAAAAATTGAGCAAATTCTGTTTATGTGGTAAAAATACGCATATTTTCTGTTAATGAAAAATTTTGAAATATTGCCATAATGAACTGAATTTAATTGATAAATTTACAGTTTCAGAACGTGTGGCATTTTGTTTTACTGGCAATAATTGTCTGAAATCTCCACCAAAAATAACATTTTTTCCTCCAAATGGTATATCATTATGCATTAAATCTTGTAAAAGACAATTCATTACTTCAAGAGCATATCGCGGTGCCATTGGTGCTTCATCCCAAATAAAAACATCTGTTTTTTTTTAATAATCAGCTTCTTTGGATTGAACTTTTATATTCGATGTTGGATCATTAAAAAGAGGTACGGGCAAACCTAAAGTTTTATGTGCTGTTCTTCCATTTGGTAGTAATGTTGCAGCGATACCAGTGAAAGCCATTGTATTAACAACTTTGCCTTGAGATTTGAGTAAATAGTATAATGTTGTGTAAACAAAATTTTTACTTGAACCTCCTGGACCGTCAATGTATAAGCATTTTTTTTTGTTGACTGTTAGTTTTTGCCAAAAGAGTTAAAACATAATCAACAACATTTTTTTGACCATAATTTAACTGGCTATATTGTTGCTGACCACATAAAGCTTCTCTTTGCAATTGTTCTGCATCTTCTTCTTCATATTTTATCTTTATTTGTTCCATTTCTGGAAATTGCTTAAGTTTCCAACCTTCTTTGCGAAGTAATTGATTGATTTGAGCATAAGCTTTTTTTATTCCAGTGACTCGTCCAAATCGTCGTATGTAATCTTGGGACATTGCAACTTGAAATTCATCCGATAACTCTTTTGGATGCAATGGTTGGCAATGCATTAGTATTCGAACAAAAAGACCTAAGTTGTCTTGGCATCGTCCATATAGAAGCTAATTGCACGTTTCTATTCATCATCATCTTCAATTAAACCCAAAGCCAAACATGCAGAAGTAAATGTTTGATGTAATACACCATTAACTGTTTTTAAAGCATTATAACTTGTTGCTCCTTTAATAT